TTTTAATGCTTTTTCTTAAAAAAATTATTTTAATTACATCATATTTTAGTATATAATTTATAATATTTTTAATAATATATATATAATATATATATATATATATATATATATTATGTATTATTTTTTCAATAACTAAAAAACATATTAAAATTTTTACTAAAATAATAATTTAATAAAATAATTTTTTTACATAAATAAAAAAACATTTCTTTATAATAATCAAAAAACTTAAATTAAAATAAAATTTAATTTAATTTCAATAATATCACAAAAACTTAAAAACCTTAAAAATTCAGAATACATTTATTTTATAGACTTTGTTTAAAAGAAATTGCTATATATTAAATTAAGAGAAATTATTTATTATATAATATATACAAGTAATAAATACAAAATAAAAAATAAATTTTTTGATTGTTTTTTTATATAAATAAAGAATTATAAATTAGTTAATGAAATTGTCTATAAGGAGATTTTATAATATAAATTTAATAAAAAGGAAAATAAAAAAAATATATAAGATTAATTTTATATTAAAAATAAAATTTAATCTAATAAATAAATATATTAAACATAATTCAAAAAAATAAAATAAAATAAAACAATTTATTAAACTAATCTAAATATAAAAAAATAAAAAAATAGTCTTTAGTCTTTATATAAAAGAATATATTGATAAAGAACAAATAAAATGTTCTTTTTTACATTTTTAATTAGAAAAAAATTAAATAGATAAAATTTAAAGAACTTTCATTTTAAAATTAATAAAAATTATTTAATAAAATAAATAGAAAGCTTTTTAAAAGAAAAAAATTCTTTGAAATTTAAATTATTAAAGTAATTTTTTTTTAAAAATCGAGAATATATTAATGTGAAATTAACATTTAAAAGGTTCATATTTAAATATATTAAAATTAAGTTTATTATTAATTGAATTATTAAGAAATTATATATTTATATAAGACAAACTTAAAATAAAAATATAAGTTAAATGAATAAAAATAACGTAAAATATAACAAATAATTAACAAACGTAAATTAAAAAATTTAATTAAAACAATAAAATAATTAAATGAAAAAAATCAAATAAATAAATATTAATTTATCATATAAATGTTAAAAACTAAATAAATTATTTTTTTATAAATAAAGAATATAATAACTACAAATTCTATTATTATTTTTTTTAAAAAAAATTCGAAAATAAAACCTTTATTTAAAATACGAAGTTATTTTTATAATTAAATAAAATAATTATTTATATGATTAACGTTCACATATATTATTAAATAAATTTCTATTTTTTATATAAAATATTATTAAGCAAAATTCTTAGAAAAAAGCTAAATAATATAATATAAACTTTTAAGTAATTATATAGTTTAAAAAATTGCATTTTTTTATTCTAAATATAATTTAAATTAATAACTAATTTTCTTAAAAAAAAAAAAACCAATACAAAAGATATTTATATTTTAGCAAAAGGCTTATATTCTATAAATTATTCGAAAGTAAAAAAAATATATAATTAAATAAAGCAATAAACGTAAAAAATTAATAACTATTAAGAAGAATATAAAAAAAAAGATTTTTGTAAATTAAACAAAAACATGTTTAATAAAAATATATATATTTTTATACAAATAATTATAAATTTTAATGAGAAATTAAAATGCTAGTTATTATTTTTTTAAAGAAATTAAACAGTTAACTATAATTTGGTTTAAATTAATAAGGATTATAATATATATTTATTCAATTTATTAAATCGTAATAAATAATAAATAAATTAAATTTAATAAAGATTATATTGAAAAAAATATATAGTTTAAAAAATTAAATTAAATTATTAATATTAATAAATATATATATTTGTATAAATATGTAAATATATATATAATAATATATATATAAATATATATATATATTTATATTTATGTATATGTATATTTCTATATATTTATAAATTTATGTTTTTATTTTATCTTATTTATATCAAAATTATATATTCTTTATTATTCATTTTTTACTTTAATTATATTTTTTTTTTTTTTTATAATATATATACTTTATATTAAAATATTTTTTATTATGTTTTTTTTTTTTATTTTATTTTTATTTACAATCTTTTTTTATAAATAATTTAAATATTTTTTTTTTCTAATTATTTACTTTATAAAAAAATATTTTACAAAATTTTATTTAAAATATTAATATTAATTTTGTTATATAAATAAAACTATAATTTAAAATAATTTAATAAAATAATATTAAGAGCTAAAAAAAACTTAATATCAAATAAAAATTAATATTAAAAAACAAAAAAAAAGATAAATAAAATATAGTAAATAAATAAATAAATTAAAATAAAATATTAAACAAAAAAAAATTAAAAATATGGCTTAAAGAATTACATACAGAAGACGCTGTTCATATAACACTAGATCAAACAAAATCAGAAAAGTAAAGACTCCTGGTAATAAATAGCAAAATAAAATAAATATTAATTTCCTAAAAATACATAGGTGGAAAAATTAATGCTTAATACGTCAAAAAAGTAGTAGTCAATTAAAAATGTGCCGAGCCTGGATGTGGTGCATTATTAAACGGTATTGCAAATGTAAGAGCTAGTGCTTTATCAACAATGAGCAGAAGATAAAAAACTGTTTCTAGAACTTATGGAGGTCATATTTGCCACCATTGTGTAAGAACTAGGTATTTATATATATATATAATTAGATTTAAATATATATATATATATTTTTTATAGAATTGTTAGATCTTTCTTATCTGAAGAAGTTAGAATTATTAAAAGAAGTTTAGCTTAAAAACCTAAAAGTGATAAAAAAAAGAAAAGAACCTAAAAAGCTAAATGAAAGGCGAAATTTTATATTATATTTTTTTTTTTATTAATAAAAAAAGGGAGGGGTATAAGGGAAATAAAATAATAAAAAAAAAAATAATATAATTTTTTTTATATATAATAATAAAAATAATGTTGTATTCTTTTTTTAAAATATTTAAACTTAATTATTTATTATAAAAAATCTACATTTTTATTAATAATAAAAATATATATATATATATATATATATATATATTTATAATCTTTTTTTTTTTATAATAAAATAATTTTTTAAATATAGTTTTTTTATTATTTGTAATTATATATAAAAAGATATATTTTTTATTAGTTTTTAGAGTTTTAATAATAATACTTTAATATTGAATATTTATTTTAATAATAATAAAAAAAAAGAAAAGTAATGGTATATATATTAAAATAATAGTGTTTGAAATAAACTTTTTTATAAAAATAAATAAAATTTATTTAAAAATAAATATTTTTTGTTATATATAAAAAAAGTTTCCCCCATTATAATTAAAAAAAAAAGTCAAATTTAAAAAAAAAAATAAAAAAAAATAAGTAAAAACAAAAAAATCATTAAGAATTATCTAAAAGTTTACCTGAATTCGAATTAATATTTTAATTTTTAAATAAAGAATAATGCGAGGAATTATCTTAAAACATCATTTCTTCTTCGAACTCATTTTTTTCTTAAAACTATACATATTATTCCCCTTCCTATTATTTCTATATTTCCATAATGTCCTCTGAATTATTTTCAGATTCCTCATTATCCCCTTCAATTACTGTATTTTTATATAATTACTTAAGTCCACTTCTAATAACTAAATCATCTAGAGTACTTGGTTTATTATCTACATGTATATAGAAAAATATTAAAAACGCAATAATAGGTGAAACGTAAAAAAAAAGGTTCTTTTTTTAATCGTTTAATTCTATAGGAATAACCACTGGTTTTTCCCCGAACAAAATATATATTAAAACTTCCAAAAACTAATTTAATAAATAATATTCGTCTAATTTTCTCAAATAAATATCCAAAACTTAAACACTCTTTATTTTTTCGTTACCCCCCAAAATCTACATATTTATTTCTTTTAATTTTTAATAATATAATGTCAAAGATTTCGTATAATTTTATTGTGTATCTTTATTGTATATATTTATAAATAATGGCGCAGCATATTTTAGGAAAAATGTGTGCTGTAAATGATAATGAATTATCTTATTTACATGTTATTTTGTATTCTTCTTTCTTAAATTCTCCTATAAGTGCTTTTTAAAGTTGTAAATAACATTTTAAGCATTTGTTCGTGTTATAGGACTTTAATAATTTGGAAGATTTTCTTTTTTTGATGTTATTTGTTATTATTATTATTATTTTATTTCTTGTTCGTCTTATTATGTTTACATCTTTTTTATTTTTTTTATTTTTTTTTTACGAGTTTTAATTTATCTTTTTTTTTTGTTATTATTATTTAATAATTTTTTTTATTATTATTAATATTTTTTTTTAAGAAACAAGTGAGAAATTTATAGTTTTTTTTATTTTTTGTGTTAAAATATAAATATAATGTTAAAAAAAGAGATATTAGTTTATTTTTATTTATTTATAGATAATTTTTTGTGTATTATTGTTTTTTTTTTTTTTTTTTAAAAAAAAAAATTAATAAATAAATTTTAAGAGTTTTTTTAATTTTTCCTTGTTTTTTTTTTTATTATTATTAAATAAATAATATGATTATAATAAAAATACATAAACATAGATAATTTATATTAATTTTTTTAAAAAAATGAATATACTAATACTTAATATTTATTTTTTGTAAAAAGTATGTGTTTTTGATATAATAATAATTATTTCTAAATAAATAAATTATAAAATTCAATTTTTATATTATCTTTATAATTTATGAGAATGAATTAATGACTAAATGTCATCTAAAACCTATTTAATAAAAAAATATAGATATTACAAAGTTATAAAAAAAAATTACTTTCAATTTGCTTTATTTCGTTTCTTGTAATTTTTATTATTAAAATAATTAATATTCTTATTCTTATTATTCATTGATTAATTAATTTTCAATATTAAAAACTGAATTTTAGAGCTATATACATATAAAATATATAACAAAAATATATAAAAATAAAATAGATTATATAAAAAATAAAAATATATATATATATATATATATATATATATATATATATATTAATATTTATATATATTTAATTAATTTATTTAATTATTTTGTTTTTTTCATATAATTTATATATTTACTTATTCATTTTTGTTTTTCAAAAATTTAATATTTTTTTTTAATTTTAAATATTTATTTTTAATATCTTCGTTTTCTTATTGTAATAAATTTTCTTAATTTTTAAAATTATTTATTTCTTTTTTTTTATAATTATTTTCATTTATTAATTTTTCTATTTATATTTCAAAATTTTAATTTTCCTTTTTATATTTTATTTTATTTTTATTAAAAAAAAAAAAATATTAATTACTTTTAAAATTTTATTTTCTAACGAATTAATTTATTATAAAAGTTCATTTTTTTGTTTTTCTAATTTATTTATTTAATTTAAAAATTATTAATTTTATTAATTTAAAGTCTAGTTTTCTTATTCCCTTTTAACTATATCTAATTCCATTTATTTTTTCTCATTTTTTATTTATAAAAATACTTCCAATTCCTAATTTTATTCCTTTTGATTTTAAGAAATCTAATTTTTGATGTTTTCTAGTTCAATTTAATGACTTTTAAGCTCCAAATTTAGTTATTCATTAATATTGTTTTTATATTCGACTTCGTTTTTCAAATCATTAATAACATTTTTATATTTATTTTATTTATATCCAATTTTTTTCTTTAAAGATTTAATTTCTATATGTAATTTATTTTCCTTTTCTTATTAAATTTA